TAATATCTTCATTGCTGTTCAGTTTTAGGTCTTCATCGGTGAGGCCTAATAGGAAGTAGTCGGGCTTACACGGAATGTTCTTTTTTATTATTTTCTGGGACTCTTCTTGTATGTTTTTCCAGAACTTCTGTAAGACAGGGCAGGACCACCATTGGTGGAAATAGGTTCCCACCAGCTTTTTACATTTCCAGCATGTGTTCTGGTAATTCTTGTACATCTTACTCAACTTCGATGGTGTTAAATACCACCTATGAAAGGTTTTGAGCCAGTTCTCCTTAAGTGTAATAGAGTAGGTGTACTTTAGCTTCTTCTTCCAGATATTTTGCCACTCTTGTAATTTTATCTGCCTGCCTAAGTTTCTTGCCCATAAAATCATGCAATGTTTGATTTCTTCCGTCTCCGTGCTCCACTCCAGCAGTTGGTTATAGATCTTGGCTATAATTTTCTTGTCTAATTTTAAGATTTTGTCCCATGTTGTTTCCTTTTCTTCGAAACCGTTTCTTTGATCTTTTTTAAAACTCTCTCCTATTTGAAAGTACTGTAGCCAGGTAAGATTGCTGAAGTCTCTTGATAAGCTTTCCTGTGATTTCAGGGACCAGGTGTTGTTGGTGTCGTTTTTCTCAAGAAGGTCTTTATATCTCGGCCATTTGTTCCATCCCAGAAGTCTTCTTTGTCTGGCTTCAATCGGCGAAAGCCACATTGGTGTTTTCCTGTAAAAATATTTTTTATATTTGTCCCAGACCCTTATTAACGCTGATCTTACGAAATGGTTCCTGAAGTTTTTTTCCATGTTGGACTTCCCGTACCACATGTAGTAGTGCCAACCTACTCTCAGGTTGTAGCCCTCCAATGTTAGTATTCTTTCGTTCTTCAGTAGGGCCCAATCCCTGATCCAGACCAGAGCGCATGCCTCAAAATAGGATTTAAGGTCTGGGAGTCCAAACCCCCCTCTATCTATTTTATCTATCATGATCTTATGCTTCATTCTTGGTTTCTTTCCATTCCATAGGAATTTCCCTATTTCTTTATTCCATTGTGTGAAGACTTTTGCGTTCCTAATAATGGGGAGGTTCTGAAATAAATATAAAAACCTAGGCAGGACGCTCATTTTTATTAAGGATATTCTCCCTAACAGGGAAAGCTTTAAGTATTTCCAGTTTAGTAGATCTTTCTTTATTTTGGACCATACTGTTTCGTAATTGTTTTTGAAACAACTGTGCATTTTTTGCTGTTAGCCAGATGCCGAGGTACTTAAAAAGCCAAAAAATGAAGTATACATTACAACGCATGCACAAAACCACATATAAATATGCAAACACACATATACACAAATATATACACACACATACCCACACAAAGTACATATACACAGACTGTGCCACAATAACGCGTGGCAGGGGACAGATAGTCTATATAAATAAAAACGTAATGTTCGTTTGTGGGATTAAGAGAATTCAGATACCACTGGACCAAATTTGGACACAAGGCACCTAACAACCCAATGTCTGTTCTTCACTCAAAAAATTGATTTTGTCATTTGGGAGTTGTAGCTGCTGGGATTTATAGTTTACCTACAATCAAAGAGCATTCTGAACTCCACCAATGATGGAATTGAACCAAATTCCCATGACCATCCAAATATACTGGAAGGTTTGGTGGGCATTGACCTTGGAGTTGTAGTTCACTTACATCCAGAGAGCACTGTAGACTCAAACAATGATGTAGCTGAACCAAACTTGGCACAGATACTCAATATACCCAAATGTGAACACTGGTGGAGTTTGGGGAAAATAGACCCTGACATTTGGGAGTTGTAGTTGCTGGGATTTATAGTTTGCCTACAATCAAAGAGCATTCTGAACTCCATTAATGATGGAACTGAACCAAACTTCCCACATAGAACCCCCATGACCAACAGAAATTCTTGTGTTTTCTGATGGTCTTTGGTGACCTCTCTGACACCCCCTCGCGACCTCCCCAGGTGTCCCAACCCCCAGGCTGAGAAACACTGAATTAAATAAACAAGTAGTTAATGCAAAGGAAGGCATTGTTTATTGTTGAAGGCTCTCATGGCTGGTATCACTGGTTGTTGTAGTTTTTTGGGGCTATATGGCCATGTTATAGAAGCATTCTCTCCTGACGTTTCACCTGCATCTAAGAGTCCCCGGTGGCGCAGTGGGTTAAACCCTTGTGCCGACAGGACTGAAGACCGACGGGTCGCAGGTTCAAATCCGGGGAGAGCTAGATAAGCTCCCTCTATCAGCTCCAGCTCCTCATGTGGGGACATAAGAGAAGCCTCCCACAAGGATAATAAAAAATCAAATCATCCAGGCGTCCCCTGGGCAACGTCCTTACAGACGGCCAATTCTCTCACACCAGAAGTGACTTGCAGTTTCCCAAGTCGCTCCTGACACGACAACCACCAACCCAGATGGTCTTTGGCAACCCCTCTGATACCCCCTCACAACCTCCCCAGGTGTCCTGACCCCCAAGTTGAGAAACACTGAATTAAATAAACAAGTAGTTCATGCAAAATAAGGCATTGTTTATTGTTGAAGGCTTTCATGGCTGGAATCACTGATTTTTGTAGGTTTTTTAAGCTATATGGCCATGTTCTAGAAGCATTCTCTCCTGACGTTTCACTTGCATCTAAGAGCCCCCAGTGGCACAGTGGGTTAAACCCCTGTGCCGGCAGGACTGAAGACCTACAGGAGAGGCGGATGAGCTCCCTCTATCAGCTCCAGCTCCTCATGCGGGGGCATGAGAGAAGCCTCCCACAAGGATGATAAAAAATCAAAACATCCGGGCGTACCCTGGGCAACGTCCTTGCAGACGGCCAATTCTCTCACACCAGAAGCAACTTGCAGTTTCTCAGATTGCTCCTGACACGACAAAAAAACAAACAAACCTGCATCTAGGGCAGGCATCCTCAGAGGTTGATCTCACAATCTTTGAGGATATCTGCCCTAGGCACAGGTGAAACGTCAGGAGAGAATGCTTCTAGAACATGGCCACATAGCCTGAAAAACCTCCAACAACCCAAGGCATTATTTGTTGGCATCTCCAATGTTAAATTCCTGGCAAAACCAAAATTCCCAGGAACGTTGATTACCTCAATTTAAAATCAATTACCAGCGCCCTTAATCCCATACAGTCTAACCACTTCTGAAACGAAAGGAGCAGAGCTGAACCACCAGCAGATGTTTGAAGGGCGAGAGAAGCGTTCTCCACTGTGGTGTTTGTGGCATTTCCCTCCACCTGCCCCCCACCCTGCAACAACACTCTTCCCACAGCGGAGCAAGGCAGGCTGCTGGGCAAAGGGGCAGTTGTGGCTTTCTGGGCTCCCTGCCCAGAGTTTTACAGATGAGGATTGCTGACTTCAGGCAAAGAAGAACCGTCAGGGAAGCAAGCGGAACAGGAGGACGCTTCCCATCACTCAACGCACAGCCACACACACACACTGGGTTGGAGCGAACATTTTTAATTTATTATCACAAAACCGCACACGTTTTGGCAGGGCACTCACATGCTGGAAAGGAGCAGAATTGTATTCCTGTTGCTATCTTCCTGCCGGGCTCCTCGGACTCTAGACAGGTGGTCTAAGTGGCATCGTTTTCTGTCCAAAGTTGCAGTCCCTTCTCTAGCCCAGACATGCTTAAGCGGCTGAGGGGGAAAAGGAAGGGGCCTGAGGCTGTTAGGAATGGTGGGAGTTGGAGTCCAAAACACCCGGAGGGCCCAAGTTTGCACATGTCTGTTCCACCCTCTCACACAAAAGCAAGACACTCGACAGAGGAAGCAATGCTCTGCCTCAGGAGCACAGCTCTGTGAGCGAAACCGCATTTTGTACTCCTGAGTAGCGCTCTTTCTCTTGGTTTTTCTGTGGAAGGAGAAGCTGTCACGTCAATTCCACAAGCACTGCTTCAGCCGTCCACCACTTTTCTCAGGAACCACATTTCTTCAGCATTTAACGGTTTCAGGTCATAGCCTTTCAGTTCCGGCTTACCTTAAAAAAAATGATAATCTAGTTGGCCAATTGAAACATTCACACCTAGCTCCAACAGACAAGAGTTCTTTCTCCTATCCTGGACACTCCACAGATATATACATTTATTTATTATTTATTTATTTACAGCATTTATATGCCGCCCTTCTCACCCTGAAGGGGACTCAGAGCGGCTTACAAGATATATATTACATACAATATATTATATTATTAGCATAGTACAATATCAGCATTAAATATTGCACCATACCTATATCGTAATATTATTAGTAATATTACATGTAATATAAATATATAATTATAATATCATATTATTATTATATTGCATTACATTATAATATTATAAATATTATATGTATATACAATATATTATATTATATTATATTATATTATATTATATTATATTATTAGAATAGCACAGGAGACAAGGTGGAACTGTCCCCTCCCCCCCCCCTCTCTTCACTCAGGCCCAGAGCTTTGATTTCCAGCAGACCTCACAATCCCTGCATCCCATGGATGCAGATGAAACGTCAGGGGAGAATGCTTCTGGAACATGGCCATACAGCCTGGAAAACACACAACAACCCAGTATTCCCTTCACTTATTGCTGACTTTTTAATGCGCTCTGGTACCACATTGCTACTCTTCAAGTTAACGTGTTCTGCAATTGGTTCAGCAAAAGCATTTTACAGTTGTTTTCTGATTCTCCAAAAGAGGATGTCATTGCTTTCCTTCAGGATCTGATTGCAAAATAGTTTCTTCCTTGGCTTTCCCCAGCAGCTGAGAAACTCAATCTATTCAGTTTCTTGTTACCTCGGCCCTCACTAGATGTCCTGCTGCTTCCTCTTTCACCATTGGAGGAATACACCGCAGAAGATGGATCTTGCTTGGTCGTGGTCCCACATGGGGTGGCAATATTTACATTGTGCTTATACCAAACCACCATGCCGCCATGGGATCTCGGTTCCTGCCTAGGGGCTGGACAACTGATCCAGACTCCATTCACTGTAGAGCACTGGTTCTCAACTTGTGGGTCCCCAGGTGCTTTGGCTACAACTCCCAGAAATCCCAGCCAGCTACCAGCTGTTGGGATTTCTGGGAGTTCTGATACAATAAGCCTTTATTGGCATATACATAGCAAAGAGGTATAATATACAGTGCAAATAATAGAAAAAGGAACTTCACATTTGCTACACATTCAGTTTACAGACTTCATTCAGGAGTCTTGCCACTGAAAGGCAGCAGCTTGACAATTTAAAAGCATAATTAGTTTGTCTGAGTCACTGTAGTTTTTCAAGGAATCTATAACATGTGGTAGTAAGCTAGATCTTAGATCCTGGTAAAGTGGGCAGCGAAACTAGTCCAATGTGGGCTAGGCAAAACTACGGTGAGGTGGATCTGTAATTGGTTAAGTGGACGAACACAGAGAGTGCTCACTAATGCTTCCTCTTCATCTTGGAAAGAAGTGACGAGCGGAGTGCCTCAGGGTTCCGTCCTGGGCCCGGTCCTGTTCAACATCTTTATTAATGACTTAGATGAAGGGCTAGAGGCAGGATCATCAAGTTTGCAGACGACACCAAATTGGGAGGGATAGCCAATACTCCAGAGGACAGGAGCAGAATTCAAAACGATCTTGACAGATTAGAGAGATGGGCCAAAACTAACAAAATGAAGTTCAACAGTGACAAATGCAAGATACTCCACTTTGGCAGAAAAAATGAAATGCAAAGATACAGAATGGGTGATGCCTGGCTCGAGAGCAGTACGTGTGAAAAAGATCTTGGAGTCCTCGTGGACAACAAGTTAAACATGAGCCAACAATGTGATGTGGTGGCAAAAAAAGCCAATGGGATTTTGGCCTGCATCAATAGGAGCATAGTGTCTAGATCTAAGGAAGTAATGCTACCCCTCTATTCTGCTTTGGTTAGACCACATCTGGAATATTGTGTCCAATTCTGGGCACCACAATTCAAGAGAGATATTGACAAGCTGGAATGTGTCCAGAGGAGGGCGACTAAAATGATCAAGGGTCTGGAGAACAAGCCCTATGAGGAGCGGCTTAGGGAACTGAGCATGTTTAGCCTGAAGAAGAGAAGGCTGAGAGGAGATATGATAGCCATGTATAAATATGTGAGAGGAAGCCACAGGGAGGAGGGAGCAAGCTTGTTTTCTGCTTCCTTGGAGACTAGGACAACGGAACAATGGCTTCAAACTACAAGAGAGGAGATTCCATCTGAACATTAGGAAGAACTTCCTGACTGTGAGAGCCGTTCAGCAGTGGAACTCTCTGCCCCGGAGTCTGGTGGAGGCTCCTTCTTTGGAAGCTTTTAAGCAGAGGCTGGATGGCCATCTGTCAGGGGTGATTTGAATGCAACATTCCTGCTTCTTGGCAGATTGGGGTTGGACTGGATGGCCCATGAGGTCTCTTCCAACTCTTTGATTCTATGATTCTATGATTCTACATGCGGGGTGGAATCCAGCTGTCCTGTGCTACAGGGACAAAGCCTCTTATTGCTTGGTAGACTATTGAGTCTTCCTCTATGGAGCGGAGATGGCATGATGTTAACTCTAGCCAGCATGTAGGCTCTTCTGTAAGAGGGGTTAGTGAGCTCTGCAATATAAAAGGCTGGGTTTCCCTGTATGAATGGAATTGCCATGTTAATAGGTGAACAGGATTTATTGGCCAAGCTCAACAATTGGTTATAGTCCCTTTCTAGCAGCCTCCTTTTAATAAGGGTAAAGATCTTGGTGAAAGTTAGCAAGTTCAGGAAATCGCTATCATAGCCCAATTCCCCGATCTTTGCTAGAACTGTAGAGCACCATTTTGAGTAGTGGAGTTCGCTCAAGGTGAGTTGGGTCAGAGAGTTGCTGGGCCTTTGGTAGTGGGTAGATAACCAAAATTTAATGATGTTTAGCCAGATAGTGGCCTCTATAGAATATTGACCAGATTCTAGACATAGAACTGCATACGGGACACAGTTTGGGACACCAAATAATTTGTGGAGGAATTTCGAGTGGAAAGATCTGATGGCACTGTTATCAGGGGTTAACCAAATGGGTGCTCCATAGAGTAGTTGTGACATCGCCTTTGCTTGGAAGACTTGCAGAGCTAGGGGGATATATTGGTTGCCCCTGGAGTGGAAAAATAGGAATAGGAATCTCCAATTACAAGTCCCAGAAGCACTTTATTAGAACTAAGATTGCTGCACTCTGCACACTGCACTTACCCTATAATCCTTACATATCACCTGTCACATCAGCACTTTTAATCCTGTACCCTTCACTCTGGCACGGCCCAGTTTTATTGTGTCTTGATGTTAGGTGTTGTATTGTTATGTTGTGTTTTGAGGACTTGGCCTTTGTAAGCCGCATAGTCTCCTTCGGGAGATGCTAGCGGGGTATTAATAATAATAATAATAATAATAATAATAATAATAATAATAATAATAATAATTTATTTATTATTTATTTATTTACTACGCTTATATACCGCAATTCTCAGCCCAAGGGCGACTCATTGCGGTGCACAACATAGAAAAACAGGTGCAAAATGCAAGACATAGTGTAAAAAATCCACAATTCGTCATTATCAAAAAACAACTCATCAAAACATCAACATTAACATCAACATTAATACAACAGCCAATTCCGAGTCGTCTCATCGTCAAACCCACAATCCGATATCATTTCCGTTGTTCCAATCCTATGGTCAAATTACCAGTCCTTGCACTTCTTATTCAAATGCCTTCTTAAACAGCCAGGTCTTTAGCTTCCTGCAGAATATCAACAGGGAGGGAGCTAGCCTGATGTCCACGGGAAGGGTGTTCCACAGCTGAGGAGCCACCACCGAGAAGGCCCTATCTCTCTAGTAGCACTGCCGCTTGATTGGGCACAGGCCAATGTATATTTTAAGTGGGTGGACCATGACAGGTTGTTACTGAACCAAAGTCCTAGGTATATGAAATGTTTTACTTGCTCGATATAGTGGCCCTTTATCTTCCAGACTCATTTTTTATTGCTTTTCCCAAAAGCCAGGATCTTGGTTTTATCATAATTCACCTGCAGTTCATTCATCTCACAGAAATAGAAACAGAAATTGAGAAAATCAATTTCTGGGAGTTGAAGTCCAAAGTATCTGGGGACCCACAGGATGAGAACCACTGCTATAGAGCAATCAGGTTCCACACACTGAGTTTGGTACCATAATCGGTTTGTTTCTGGAAATACCTTGTGCTTCCAGGAGACGGTTAACTTTGACTTTTAGTTCTTCTCGCAGTTTGGCTATTTCTTCATCTAGGAGCTCTTGATCTGGAGAAAAAGCACAGTCCACATGATTTAGAATACTGTGCAACTCAAGACTTGCCATCACAATTGAGATTATTTCTTGCTTTGTGCTTCAACAGTAGCCATAACTACAGGAGGGTGCTCACTCCATATTCCAAGCCCTGGTGTTTTATTTTTATTTTTTTCAAATTAATTTTTATTAAAAGGGTATATAGTTACATGGAAAGTAGGGGAATATTGTGGAGGAGATAGAAAAGTAGGAAATAAAGTAAAACAAAGAAAATACCCTAGTATGGAGAAAAAAATTAAGAACCTTGTCTCAACAGTGTGCAGGGCCACTCTAATAAAAAAAGGGGGGGGGGGAAGCAGGGAAAAAATATGTTTATTAATAAAACATATATAGAGACATCAGACTGGCAACAAAGATCCATTGCCTAGTCAAAGCCATGGTATTCCCTGTAGTCACCTACGGAGGTGAGAGCTGGACCTTAGGGAAGGCTGAGCGAAGGAAGATCGATGCTTTTGAGCTGTGGTGTTGGAGGAAAGTTCTGAGAGTGCCTTGGACTGCGAGAAGATCCAACCAGTCCATCCCTCAGGAAATAAAGCCCGACTGCTCATTGGAGGGAAGGATACTAGAGATAAAAATATAGGCTAGTATCCTGTATATATAAGCCTAGAGAAGACAATTATGCTGGGGAAAGTGGAAGGCAAAAGGAAGAGGGGCCGACCAAGGGCAAGATGGATGGATGGCATCCTTGAAGTGACTGGATTGACCTTGAAGGAGCTGGGGGTGGTGACGGCCGACAGGGAGCTCTGGTGTGGGCTGGTCCATGAGGTCACGAAGAGTCGGAGACGACTGAACGAATGAACAACAAAAAAAATATAGATAGATAGATAGATAGATAGATAGATGAATATATAGATATAGATATATTGATATAAAATATATTTTATATTACGATATAAAAATTATATAAAATATTTATATTTATATTTTATATTGATATATAAAAAAGGTGTTCTAAATCAAAGAGCATTCTGAACCCCACCAATGATGGATTTGAACCAAACTTGGCACACAGTTCTCCCATGACCAACAGAAAATACTGGAAGGTTTGGTGGGCAGTGTCCTTTGGTTTTGGAGTTGTAGTTCACCTACATCCAGAGATCACTCAAGCAATGATGGATCTGGACCAAACTCTACAAGAATACTCAATATGCCCAAATATGAACACTGGTGGAGTTTGGGGAAAACAGAATCTTGACATTTGGGAGTTGTAGTTGCTGGGATTTATAGTTCACCTACAATCACAGAGCATTCTGAACCCCACCAACGATAGAATTGGGCCAAACCTCCCACACAGAACCCCCATGTGGGCCATAGCAACGCGTGGCAGGGGACGGCTAGTACATAAATAAAACAAATAAAGCTGGGATACATAACCTGCAACACTAAAACTGCTTTGAGCCCCCCCCCCCAGGGGTGAGAAAGGCGGTATATAAATATTGTAAATAAATAAATAAATGTATTTTTAAAACCTTTTAAAAACCTTACCAGAGCGTCCTGTGTGTTTTCTCTCCTTTATACTGCCAGAAGCTCAACTACAGCATTGGCTACACTGAGTTCTGCTAGTGTTGATGTGGAGAGTGTCTGGTTTGCCCACCCTGGAACATGCAAGATATCATTGTCCTTCTTTAAGGGTCCCTTTCAAATCTGTGATACTATATCTCTGTGTGTGTGAATCATATCTATCTATTAGGCCTGGGTAACAATGGAAAAATTTGTTTCTAAAATTGATTTGTATTTGGGGGTTTTTTTTGTTTCGATATTTAAAATAATTACAAAATTTTCCCTTAAAAAAGTTCGGTATTTACGAAATTTCGTTAATATTTACGAATTGATTCGTTAAGATGGCGCCCGCGTTAGCACATGCGCAAAGCATTTACGAAATTTCGTAATTTGCCAGGAATAACGAATCGATTCGTTAAGACGGCGCCTGCGTTAGCGCAGGCGCAAAGCGGTTTTCGAAATTTCGTTATTGTTGGTGGCTGAACTAATAACGAATCGTTTCGTTAAGATGGCGCCCGCGTTAGCGCATGCGCAAAGCATTTATGAAATTTCGTTATTCGGGAAATCGATTCGATTCATCACAATGGTTGGAACTACACGAATAATGAGCGAGCACTGTATTATATAGCACTTTGTGTTGGTAAAAGGAGCGCACTGGTTGGAACTACACAAATGAGCGACCACTGTATTATAGCACTTTCTGTTGGCAAAAGGAGCGCACTGGTTGGAACTACGCAAATAATGAGTGAGCACTGTATTATGTAGCACTTTGTGTTGGCAAAAGGAGCGCACTGGTTGGAACTACACAAATGAGCGAGCACTGTATTATAGCACTTTCTGTTGGCAAAAGGAGCGCACTGGAACTACACAAATAATGAGCGAGCACTGTATTATAGCACTTTGTGTTGGCAAAAGGAGCGCACTGGTTGGAACTACACAAATGAGCGAGCACTGTATTATAGCACTTTCTGTTGGCAAAAGGAGCGCACTGGTTGGAACTACACAAATAATGAGCGAGCACTGTATTATAGCACTTTGTGTTGGCAAAAGGAGTGCACTGGTTGGAACTACACAAATGAGCGAGCACTGTATTATAGCACTTTCTGTTGGCAAAAGGAGCGCACTGGTTGGAACTACACAAATGATGAGCGAGCAGTGTATGTAGCACTTTGTGTTGGCAAAAGGAGCGCACTGGTTGGAACTACACAAATGAGCGAGCACTGTATTATAGCACTTTGTGTTGGCAAAAGGAGCGCACTGGTTGGAACTACACAAATGAGCGAGCACTGTATTATAGCACTTTCTGTTGGCAAAAGGAGCGCACTGGTTGGAACTACACAAATAATGAGCGAGCACTGTATTATGTAGCACTTTGTGTTGGCAAAAGGAGCGCACTGGTTGGAACTACACAAATGAGCGACCACTGTATTATAGCACTTTCTGTTGGCAAAAGGAGCGCACTGGTTGGAACTACACAAATGACAAACGCACACACTGCTGTGGAGCAAACAGCCACAAGACAGGGACAAACGATAGCACACAGCCACAGAAGGGTCTTTTCTTTTTTTAGAATATTTTTTGATTTTTTTTAAGAATAAAAGAAAGGTATTTTTCAAAAATATTTAAAATGGAAAATTAACAAATTAACAAAAACCGCCCTCACTCTCCCAACAACAGAATTAAGGAATGCAAAAATGAAAGCAAATGAATCAATGCAAGGAATGAATCCAAGCTTAGCCAACCAAGCCAAGCCAATCCAAGCCGCCCTCCCGGACCTCCCGTCTTCTCTTCTCCCTCGCCTCCGCAACAATGAGCAATGCGGCCACGCGGAGCCGCTTTTAAAGGGCTGCCCGCCCAATCACAATCAGCCACGGTGCACTGCTTGGGTGCTTGGGAGCGCCGGATTGGCTCCCAGGGCACCCAGCATCCTCCATCCCATTTCCGAAACGGGCGGAAGCTCGTAAAAAGTATGGAGGATGCCGTTTCGTTATTGAAAAACCCTTCCGGGTTTGAAAATATGTTTTGTATTCATTTTGTAATTGTTAAATATAACGAATATTTAACGAATTACAAAATTAACTAACGAAACCGCCCAGGCCTACTATCTATCCATATCTATGGCTGGGTGGCTCTTTGCCAGGAGTGCTTTGATTACGTTTTCTTGCACTGATGAAGTGAGCTGGATTGGATGGCCTTAAGTATTTTTCTGTTGGTCATGGGGGTTCTGTGTGGGAAGTTTGACCCGATTCTGTCATTTGTGGGGTTCAGAATGCTCTTTGATTCTAGGTGAACTGTGAATCCCAGTGACTACAACTCCCAAATGTCAAGGTCTATTTCCCCCAAACTCCATCTGTGTTCATATTTGGGCATATTGAGTGCTTGTGCAAGTTTGGTCCAGATCCATAAATAAATAAAATAACGGAATATCGGATAACGAGTTTGGATTCTGATTTTACTGATGAGACCTGATGGATTTGTTATATTGATGTAGTGATGTATTGATATTGATGTTTATTGATTTGTGATGCTATTGCTTTTAAATGCTTAATGATTTTGTATTGTGTATACCTAAGCTGTTGTAAACCGCTCTGAGTCGCCTAAGGGCTGAGAAGAGCGGTATACAAATAAAGTAAATAATAAATAAGTAAATAATAAATAATCCATCATTGTTTGAGTCCACAGTGCTGTCTGGATGTAGGTGACCTACAACTCCCAAACTCAAGGTCAATGCCCACCAAACCCTTCTAGTGTTGTCTGTTGGTCATGGGAGTTCTGTGTGCCAAGTTTGGTTCAATTCCATTGTTGGATTTCTGAATGCTCTTTGATTGTAGGTGAACTATAAATCCCAGCAACTACAACTCCCAAATGACAAAATCGTAATTTTTTGAGTGATGGTCACTCCTTGTGTTGTGAGACGTTTTGTTGCCAAATTTGGTGTGATTTCGTTCATTGGTTCTTTTGTTTTTAAGGTACTCATCATGCACAGAGCATTTTTATATAGATAGATGGCCATAAACAGGTCTTTGAAAGTGACTCCAGAAGGCATTTTTTTAAAAAAAGAGGCACTCTTGGTGAAACCACCAATAGGAATGTATGCAAGCACGGCTCTTTGGGGACAAGTGTGCTTTTCCTAACATTGTGGCCAGATGCTGCACACATGACATCAAAGAAGAGTCAGAAAGCCAGACTCAGGCTGGAGGAGTCTAAGGCTCCCTTGAGAGAAGGAGAGGAGGCTGAAAGGGAATGGAAGCAGCCCTGCTGGTAATCACTGGTCTCCTTTGTTGTCTTATCTCCTAATGCTCTTATCTCTCACTCAGCAGACAATTGTGCCTCCTTCTTCCTCTAAATTTCCACAAAACCAGCACCCTGAGACCCTCAGTTTTCATTTTATATCAGAAGAAGTCTATATAAAGCTCTTGTAATTTTTTTTAAGAGGACAGAATGGCAGAATAGGACCAAAGTTTGCAACCCAAGGGGATCTGAGCACACACCACGTCTGCAGCATGGGTGGCTTTAACACAGACCTGCCACAAATGGCAAGATAAAAGATGCACTGAACCGTATTTTTGGAATACAAAGGAAGGCGGTCGAACACAATCTGCTTCATGTTTAAGCCGCTTGAGAAAAAGCCACCTTCATTCTGTAATTATATTTAGCCACCTCCCTGTCTATTCTGAATCTAGCTGTGTGCCCCTTGACACACCAGACTTTGCAGACACATCATTACACATGCACAGGATCTCACCTCTCTGCAACATGTCCTTGGTCTTCGGTTTTGGAAGCTGCACAAACATGTCGCCAAAGCAAACCATGACCTGACCTGCAAATGACAAAACAAGCCTTATTTAAGACATCGTGACAACGAAAAGGCACGCTGCTTTCTGAGTCTCTACATCGTGATGCACAGGCCCCAGCGCTCCCTATATCTATGGGTGAGTGTGAATGCTGGACAGTGAAGAAAGCCAACTGGAAGAAAATCAACTCATACGAAACGTGCTGGAAAAGAGTTCCATGAATACCATGGAGTGTTAAAAACACAAAGAAATGATGCCTACAGCAAACCGAACCTGAACTCTACTTAGAAGTCAAGATGACTAAATGGAGGCTATCATACTTTGGCCATATCAGGAGAATATGGGACCTGGCTAGATAGAAGGCAGTCGTTGTTGTTCATTCGTTCAGTCGTCTCCGACTCTTCGTGACCTCATGGACCAGTCCACGCCAGAGCTCCCTGCTGGCCGTCACCACCCCCAGCTCCTTCAAGGTCAGTCCAGTCACTTCAAGGATGCCATCCATCCATCTTGCCCTTGGTCGGCCCCTCTTCCTTTTGCCTTCCACTTTCCCCAGCATATTGTCTTCTCTAGGCTTTGCTGTCTCCTCATGATGTGGCCAAAGTACTTCAACTTTGTCTCTAGTCTCCTTCCCTCCAGTGAGCAGTCGGGCTTTATTTCCTGGAGGATGGACTGGTTGGATCTTCTCGCAGTCCAAGGCACTCTCAGAACTTTCCTCCAACACCACAGCTCAAAAGCATCGATCTTCCTTCGCTCAGCCTTCCCTAAGGTCCAGCTCTCACATCCGTAGGTTACTATAGGGAATACCATGGCTTTGACTAGGCAATGGATCTTGGTTGCAAGTCTGATGTCTCTACTCTTCACTATTTTATCGAGACTGGACATTGCTCTCCTCCCAAGAAGGAAGCGTCTTCTGATTTCCTGGCCACAGTCTGCATCTGCAGTAATCTTTGCACCTAGAAATACAAGTCTGTCACGGCCTCCACAATTTCTCCCTCTATTTCCCAGTTGTCAATCATTCTTGTTGCCATAATCTTGGTTTTTTTGATGTTTAGCTGCAACCCAGCTTTTGCGCTTTCTTCTTTCACCTTGATTAGAAGGCTCCTCAGCTCCTCCTCGCTTTCGGCCATCAGAGTGGTGTCATCTGCATATCTGAAGTTGTTAGAAGGCAGTAGGAAGAGAGAAAGACTGTTCCAGGTGAAGTGAAACTAAGCAGAAAGACACAGCTGTCCTGAGTCTTCAAATGATCCCTTATGTATAATTCCAGGCAGATTCATGAGAGACTTGATTAGAATCACGGGAAGACACAATCCAAGCACTCTGGTCTAGCTTGCCCCCTCCTCAATGGGACACAGCTCTCATGTCTCCTTCTCTCAGCCTTCTGTTCTCCAAGCAAAATATACCCAGCTCCCTAAGCCATTCCTCAGAGGAATTCATGATTTTCAGACCTTTGGCCATTTTGATGCCCCTTCTCTGGACATACTCCAGCTTGTCCATAGAATAATGGAATCACAGAATTGGAAGATTCTCGTGGGCCATCTAGTCCAACCTCATTCTGCCTAGAAGCAGGAAAATCACATTCAAAGCACCCCGACAGATGGCCATCCAGGCTCTGCTTAAAAGCCTCCAAAGAAGGAGCCTCCATCACACTCCGAGGCAGAGAGTTCCACTGCTGAACAACTCTCTCTCACACAGTTAGGAAGTTCTTCCTAATGTTCAAGTGGAATCTCTTTTCCTGTAGTTTGAATCAACTCCCTCCCCCTAGGGATATTAGATCAGCCCCCTCCCTCCTGACTTTCTGAAAAAGAGTAAAAACTTGGCTCTTCAAGCAAGCATTCGGAACCCCGGAGTAAACAGACAAACTAGAGTTGGAAATTGACCCAGGAACGGCCAAGACAATGTAACGGATGAAGATTTGAACGAGAGGACATCGTTCTTTTTAAATTGTTTATTATTCACTGTCGTTTATGTTTAATTGCACTTGATGTTTTTGCTTTATTAATGTATGTATTTTGTTTTGACATCGAATTGTGCCAACTGTGTATACCGCCCTGAGTCGCCTTCGGGCTGAAATGGGCGGGATAGAAATAATGTAAATAAATAAATAAATTGTTCTACGTCCTAGTACCCAGGGCAGCAGAAAACAAGCTTTCTCCCTCCTCCCTATAACTTCCCCTCACATCTTGATCCATGGCCCTCATTATATCTCCTCTCATCCTTCTCTTCTGCAGGCTAAACATGCCCAGCTCTTTGAGCCACTCCTCACAGGGCTTGTTCTCCAGACCCTTGATCATTTTAGATGCCCTCCTTTGGACACATTTCAGCTTGTCAACATCTTCCTTCAACTGCGGTGCCCGGAATTTGACATAGTATTCCAGGTGTGGTCTGACCATGGCAGAATAGAAGGGTAGAATGACTTCCCTAGATGTAGGCACTGGACTATTTATGCAGGCCAAAATCCCATTGGCTTTTTAAGCGATTTCATGATATTGTTGGCTCATGTTCCCCTTCCTCCCCACGAGGACATCCTGCTATCGAGTCAGGCATTGTCCCTCCTTGCGTTTCCTTTTTTTCTGCCTAAGTGGAGTATCTTGCATTTGTCCCTGTTGAACTTCATTTTGTTAGTTTTGGCTAATCATCTCTCTAACCTGTTAAGATCATTTTGAATTCTGCTCCTGTCTTCTGGGGTATTGGCTCTCCCTTCCTATTTGGTGTCATCTGCAAACTTGATGATCCTACCTTCTAACCCTTCCTCTAAGTCAGTGGTTCTCAACCTGGAGTCCCCAGATGTTTTTGACCTTCAACTCCCAGAAATCCTAACAGCTGGTAAACTTGCTGGGATTTCTGGGAGTTGTAGGCTAAAAACATCTGGGGACCCCAGGTTGAGAACCACTGCTGTAAGTCATTAATAAATGTTGAACAGAATCGGGTCTAGGACGGAACCCTGCTGATGGCACTCCACTCGCCACTTTGTCACGTCCCTCTCCTCCTTGAAAGTGCAATGCCCAAAACTGGACACAGTATTAGTCCAAGTGAGGTCTGGTCAAAGCAGAAGAGAGTGGGACTAGAACTTCCCTTGATCCCAACACTGTCCTCCTACTGATGCAGCCTAGAATCACATTGGCTTTTTTAGCTGCTGCGTCACACTGTGGACGGATGTTCAGCTTGTGGTCTCCTAGATCCCTTTCACATGATGTCACCAATATCTGAGCATTTCATTAGAACCGGTAAAGCCTTAAAAGACCTAAAACACCATCAGAGGCACATGTGTTGTTCTCCTTGCCCTCATTAATGCAATGCCTCGTTGCGCACAAGGGAAGCCAGACAATTTGCTGTGTGTAATCTTCCCCCAGAGAGATGGCTGACACTCGTAGCAGACATTAGTCACTTGCCTTTACGTGCTCCCTGGGAAGGCTCTGCAATGGGAGCGTGCATAAGACCAAGTAGGGTAGAGGAACCAGCACAGCTTTGAGAACAGTAACTTCTAGAAATTATCACTGCCTGTCAAAAATCACTGTCTCCTCCATTAATCCCTTCTGTTTACAGCTTTTAGGAAGTGCTCTGCAGTTCCCAGAAACATTGCAAAGTTGTGAACACTAGGATTAGGCTAGTGCTCACTATGGCTCCCCATCAAAATTCTGCAAGAGAGCCTCTTCTGTCTGCTCTCCAGTTGACTAGAAGGGAATTTCTGGTTTTTACTGGCCTTCTAGGTGATTAATTTTGACAGGTATGAAAAAGAAAAGTACTTCAAATTATTAGGAGACAGTCCAGGAAAGAGCTGAACAAATATTTAACATTTCTTACGACGCAGCATCAAATTTCTTTATGGTCAGGTTGACCGCCCTCCTCCCCAAATTCGCTCCATCCGAATGCCTCCAGGCAGGTAATAGCTCAAACACACACACAGCCAATTTATACAAAGGCTAACAAATCTGGAGCCCGCTTCAAAGGAGGCACGTAATAGCTCCGGAAGCTTCAGCAGATGTCCATGAGAAGCAAATGGCAGAACTGTGGTGTAGAGAGAGAGAGACAGTAAACTCAGAAGGCGACTCAAACCCTACCTGAAAATGTCAAGAAATGCAACCTGTAAATCCCTCACTGTGTGTCTAGCAAGTTTGAAATGTTCTGCAACTGGTTTCTGAGTACAGGCAGTCCCTGAGTTAGAAGCATCCAACTTACATTCAACTCATAGTTAAGAACAGGGTAAGACAACAGGAAGTGAGAGAAATTTCCCCCTTGGAAAGGGATAATAGAATCATAGAATCACAGAATCCTAGAGTTGGAAGAGACCTCATGGGTCATCCAGTCTAACCCCCTGCCAAGAAGCAGGAATATTGCATTCAAATTACCCCTGACAGATGGCCATCCAGCCTGTTTAAAAGCTTCCAAAGAAGGAACCTCCACCACACTCCAGGGCAGAGAGTTCCACTGCTGAACAACTCTCACAGTCAGGAAGTTCTTCTTCATGTTCAGATGGAATCTCCTTTCTTGTAGTTTGAAGCCATTGTTTCGTGTCCTAGTCTCCAGGGAAGCAGAAAACAAGCTTGCTCCCTCCTCCCTGTGGCTTCCTCTCACATATTTATACATGGCTATCATATCTCCTCTCAGCCTTCTCTTCTTCAGGCTAAACATGCCCAGCTCCTTAAGCCGCTCCTCATAGGGCTTGTTCTCCAGACCCTTGATCATTTTAGTCGCCCTCCTCTGGACACATTCCAGCTTGTCAATATCTCTCTTGAATTGTGGTGCCCAGAATTGGACACAATATTCCAGATGTGGTCTAACCAAAGCGGGATAGAGCATGGGGAGCATGACTTCCCTAGATCTAGACACTATGCTCCTATTGATGCAGGCCAAAATCCCTCCTGAAAGATTTATCATGGGGAAAAGGGGTCTCCACTGAAGCTTTAGCACCAATCCTTGTTTCCACAACAAGCCAAATTTTTCAACATCCAATTCTCACAGGAACAGAAAATGAGGGGAAATCTTGAACAGGGACATAGGCAGTACAGAAAACTCCAGAGGGGTTTTAACCCTCCCCTTTGCTCACTAACATATGGAGAGGAGGAGGAATAGTCAATGAGAAATCACTACCAGATCTCTGGTTGAGAATTATTTCGTATCCAGGCTCTGCTAATCCATGTTAGTCCAGTTATCATCACTGGCCACACAACTACACTGGCCACAAAATCAACTCACACAACGTTATGAATGATAGTTGGCTTCTGTAGATCAATGTTAATTGTTTTAGGTTCAGATTTTATGTCATTATATCATTTTTGTTTGATTACATTTTGCTTTAATCTATTCATGTTAAGTTCTAAATGCTGTTTTTATATGTGGGGTTTTTCAGGAGTTATGATGTTGGTATTTGTTTTATGGAGGCATTGAATGTTTGCCGCTGTATGTTAGAATCTGCCCTGAGTCCCCCTTAGGAGATAGGGCGGAATATAAACAAACAAACAAATAAATAAATAAATATTCTTATTATTTGAAACACAACAAACGAAATCACTGTATTATTATTATTATTATTATTATTATTATTAGAAACACAGCAAACAAGATCACTGTATTATTATTATTATTATTATTATTATTATTATTATTCTTTCCAAGACTAAAATATATACATTCTTGGCTGGAATTGCACTTTAAGAACAAATCTACAGAACTTATCATGTTAACCGCCCTGGGTCCCCATTGGGGAGATGGTGGTGGGGTATAAATAAAGACGACGATGATGATGATTATTATTATTCATATCTTGGGAACTGCCTGTCTTGCCATTTTTAACGTCAGCTTTGTGTCCAATAATCCTTTTGCATAGACTATCCCATTTATCCAGTGTGGGGTCATTGCTGGCATATATCACATTGGAAGAGGAGCTCTGATGTTGTGGGTGATGTCACTGTCTCATATAATATTGCTCCCAGAGGAAACGAGGGAACAGATGTGGCCTCTGGGTTTGCAGCAGGTTTCTGTCCCTGCATTAGAAGTCATGTTATGTACCCTGTTATGAGTAGCTATTCATAACATTGAGGATGCCTGTAGACCACTAAGGGTTGCTTCCCACAACTTGGGAGGGGGCTGTATTATTCTCCACACATGACTGTAGTTTTATGATGTACGATAGCGGTCTCAGCTGGGGAGTGTAAGTAAATTTCACATTCAGACTAAATAATGCAAGTTTTCTCTATTCAGATTTAGGCAAACAGTGGGTTATTTGAATCTGCAGAGTTTTGGTTCCAGAACCCTGCATGGATACCAAAAACCCAGAAGCTGGAGTCTCTTATTTAGAAAAAATGGTGTAGGGCAGCAGTGGAAGTGGTAGCAAGCTTTGTACTTGAGGTGCGTAATGTTCAGGTTCCGCCGCCTCCAGGAAGCCCATCAGCTCCTCTCTGCAGCCTTTGAGAGAGAGATAAGTGTGGAGAGAGATGCAAGGAACTGTGAAATGTGGGAGCCATGGATTAGTATCAAGCAGTACTCTGAGATTCCCTCGATTTCATGGATCATCAGTCTCTTTCCAGCCTCACAAAGACATTATATACCATGCAAAAGGTGTGACAAGACATCACTTCTGATTGCCATTTTGTAAAGACAGCGGCATTTGAAGCACTGTTGGGGATGTATGGCTTGGGAGGGAACCCTCACTCCACCCCAGCTACCCTGGCCACCGAGGGAGAGAAGAAGAGGCAGGCACAGCTTTATGAAACCTAGGCTCAGAAGGACATGAAAGCCCTCCTTCCATCATGCCCAGACCCAAATGCAAATGAAAGACTCTCTCTTTCATCCTAACTGGCCAAAGCTAAGGAGCTAAGAAGAAGAACTATCTTCTAATCTTAATATCCTTCCTAATGGCATTTCCTTTCTTTCTGTGCAGCCTTTAGAAGGCAGGGAATGTTTTTTCTTTTCTTGTAGAAACACATGCACAGTGATTTGTTGTTGTTCATTCATTCAGTCGTTTCCGACTCTTCGTGACCTCATGGACCAGCCCACGCCAAACAATAAGATATGTTCTTATCTTATTGTTTGTGTTGGCATCGAATTGTGCCTTTTTGTAAGCCGCCCTGAGTCCCCCCTCGGGGGTTGAGAAGGGCAGGGTAGAAATGTGCGAAATAAACAAACAAATAAATAAACTCCCTTTCGGCCGTCACCACCCCCAGCTCCTTCAAGGTCAATCCAGTCACTTCAAGGATCCCATCCATCCATCTTGCCCTTGGTTGGCCCCTCTTCCTTTTTCCTTCCATTTTCCCCAGCATCATTGTCTTCTCTAAGCTTTCCTGTCTTCTCATGATGTGGCCAAAGGACTTCCACTTGGCCTCTACTATTCTTCCCTCCAATGAGCAGTCGGGCTTTATTTCCTGAAGTATGGACTGGTTGGATCTTTTGGCGGTCCAAGGCACTCTCAGAACTTTCCTCCAACACCACAGTTCAAAAGCATCTCCCTTCCTTCGCTCAGCCTTCCCTAAGGTCCAGCTCTCACATCCATAGGTTACTATGGGGAATACCATTGTTTTCACTATGCAGATCTTTGTTGCCAGTGTGATGTCTCTACTCTTCACTATTATATCGAGATTGGACATTGTTCTCCTCCCAAGAAGTAAGTGTCGCCTGATTTCCTGGCTGCCGTCTGCGTCTGCAGTAATCTTTGCAGCTAGAAATACAAACCCTGTCACGGCCTCCACGTTTTCTCCCTCTATTTCCCAGTTGTCAATCATTCTTGTTGCCATAATCTTGTTTTTTTATGTTTAGCTGCAACCCAGATTTTGCGCTTTCTTCTTTCTTCTTCTTGATTAGAAGGCTCCTCGGCTCCTCCGTACTTTGGGCCATCCATGTGGTGTTATCTGCATATTTAAGGTTGTTAATGTTTCTTCCAGCAATTTTCTGAGAAAGTACCAAATCTAATAATAAACAATCTGACTTGTTTAATCTGATTTAATAATAAACAATATGCACAGTGATAGTGCTATATAAATCAATATATAAATCTCTTTCTTTCACATCCAAAACTGCCTCTCTATGTTTTACTGCTACTCCTGTTGCTGCTGACTGGTGGGAAGTAATTCTGATTAAGATGCAGCTGTCCTGAGCTCCAAGAAGAAGAAAAGGAGAGTGTCCTTTATCTGTGTGCACACCCTAATTCTGTCTCCCCTTTGAACTGAAGTCAGGTGCCTTTTCATCATCTGAATTGCCTCCTCCCTCCATCCTCTTCCCACTGGGAAGCAGCTGTAGGTGTCCCAGCCAGGCCAAGGGGAGAACCAAGATCCAGGCAGGTAGGGCATTAGCTCCCCAGTTTAGTACAAAATCTCAGCTCTACCATGATGTGATAGAGCAAGCATAGGCAAACTTCAGCCCTATGGGTGTTTTGGACTTCAACTCCCACAATTCCTACCAGTCCAAAACACATGGAGGGTCGAATTTGTCCATGCCTGGGATAAAGGAATAACAGCAGTTACAGTAACATGAGCACAGCTTACTGGAAATGTAAGGAGAAGGAAGGGTCATATTTCCACATGTGGTGGACATGTGACAGAGCAAAAAGATATTGGAAAGGAATACAGAAATAAAAAAAAAAAAATTAGAGATACAGATTCCCTGGAAACCAGAAATATTCTTGTTAGGAATACATGAGATGGAACTAGAAAAAAATACGGACAAACTACAGTGAGAATATGTTATGTGAAAATGTGGAAACAAAAAGAAATACCTGAAGAAGACGAGTGGATGACGAAGATACTAGAGATTAGAAATATGGATAGGCTCACTTTCCTCGTGTCAAAGAATAAAGGAATAAAAGTGAAGGAAACAGACTGGAAAAAGTTACCAAATGCTTTAAGCAAAGAAACAAGAAGATTTTGATTTAGTAAAAAGGAAATGGATAATACAAAAAGGAAGATTGTAAGAAGAGAGGGAAAGAAGTTAACAAGAAGGAGGAGGAGGAGGAGAAAGGAAAGGAAGAAAAAAGGGAAAGGAAAAGACCTCAGGAAGATACCAGGAAGTCAAAATATCTATTGTTTTACTTTTTGCATCACTAGCATAGTTTTATTCACTTACATGCTCATCTGTTTACTTTGGTTGCTATAAATAACTTCATTTCTAAGTCGTCCCCCCCCTTTTTTCTATCTCTCTTTTTATCTTTAAACGCATGTTACTTTCTCAGAAACAAAATTGTTATCTGTTTTATTTATGTTTTTTGTTGTCATTTTGTTTTTAACTATAAACTCTAATAAGTATTATTTTTTTAAAAAGGAATAACAGCAGGCTTGGTGAGAATTTCGACTCCACACAGCACATGATCTTCATATATTATAAACAGGTCTACATTGGCTAGAGCATTGAGAATCCCTTAGTTGTCTTATCTTTCTACCTAACTAAATGTTCAGGACTGTTGCAAGATAAAATACAGCCCTAAGTTCCTTGCGGAAAGTTACAGCTATGTTCTGATCTAATAAATAATCTACAAAACAGGCTACACAGCACAACCAGAGGCTGCATCAGCACATCAGTCCGATTGTTTATTATTAGATTTGGTACTTTCTCTGAAAAAAAGCCCTCTCTCTTGAAACAAACAGAAATGCAGAGGCTCTCAAACTACTAGGTACAACACCCTGGGGATGCAACAGGTTTCTAAAGACTCCAGCAAAAGTGAGAGAAGATTGTGAGCCTAGAACAAAACATGTTTCACAAGAAGGACTCAGTTCAATCACGGATATTGCAGTGAGAAAATCTCAAGTTAGCAGTCCTGGGAAGACCTCTGTCTAAAGAACTGGCAAGCTGGAACTGTTAAGAGTCGACTGCATTGCATTTGACAGACAAAATGAGGTCGGCTCAGCATAAGGAAGTTTTGTATATTCAAAGCAACACTTCACCTGAAGAGTCCGGCTCCTTGCTTAAAGCCCTCAACGCCTCCCGGTTCTGATTTCGCTTCTGATCCAAATCGACAATCTGAAAGAGAAATAGTGAAATTTTCTACCTGCGTTTACATGTTTGCCAAGAAGGCCAATTTACTCATTTCCTTCATGCCGAAGGAAAGTGTGCATTTGAATCATCTGAAATAAGCTTGAGTCTGCAAATCTCTGCCTCTTCATGCACCCCTCCTAAAAAACAACAACAAATAACAAAAAACCCATGATAAAATAGAGGAAGGAAAAGTCGATGCCCGTGTTTCTCAACCTTCCTAATGTCTTGGCCCCTTAATACAGTCCCTCATATTGTGGCGACCCCCAACCATAAATTATTTTTGTTTCTACTTCATAACTGTAATTTTGCTAGTTATGAATCATCATGTAAATATCTGATATGCAGGATGTATTTCATTCGCTGGACCAAATTTGGCACCAATACCCGCTACGCCCAAATTTGAATAATGGTGGGGTTGGGGGGAATTGATTTTGTCATTTAGGAGTTGTAGTTGCTGGGATTTATACTTAACCTACAATGAAAGAGCATTCTGAACTCCACCAACGATTGAACTGAACCAATCTTGGCACACAGAACTCTCATGACCAACAGAAAATACTGGAAGGGTTTGATGGGCACTGACCTTGAGTTTGGATGTGGTAGTTAGGTCACCTACATCCAGAGAGCACTGTGGACTCAAACAATGATGGATCTGAACCAAACTTGGCACAGATATTCAATATGCCCAAATGTGAACACAGGTGGAGTTTGGAGAAAACATACCATGACATTTGGAAGTTGTAGATGTGGGATTTATAGTTCACCTTCAATCAAAGACCATTCTGAACCCTACCAACTATAGAATTGGGCCAAACTTCCCACACAGAACCCCTGCGACCAACAGAAAATACTGTGTTTTCTGGTGGCTTTTGGCAACCCCTCTGACACTCCCTCACAACCCCCAGGTTGAGAAACACTGGTCTATGCCCTTCTGCAATCCAGACAAATGTCCAAGTCCTTTTGCTATGGAATTGTCGCCTTTTTTATGGTAGCAATGAAAAGAGTTCTGCAGATATTGCGGACTGCCAAAAAGGCAAATAAGACAAATCAGGACTGAATTCTCCCTAAAAGCCAAATGGAGCAGTCAGCCCTCCACATTTTCGGGGTTGATTTTTACCGATTTAATGAAACTATTCTCTTTGGATTAAGCAGAAATCTTTTATGAACCTTAAGGAAGATGGGAGCAAACATCAAAGACTGGGTTTATGAATTAGAGGAGTGTTCTTAAAAGTAGAAGTGTGGATATGCAGTGCTATCTAAAGGGAATAGGATAACAAGGAGTGAAAATCAACAGAAGTCCAAGATTCAATAGTTGTCTATCTAGTATGTTTTTTTATTATTTGAGGCATTTTATGTTAGGATGATCGTTGTGGATCTAGTTGTATTAGATGTAGCAGTTTTAATTTTATATACAGTGGAACCTCAACTTAAGAGTGTCCCAACTTAAGAGTGTTTTAAGTTAAGAGCTTGGCCTGATTTTGCTTTGACATAAGAGCAGCATTTTGAGTTGAGAGCTAGTGCCAGAGGGGGCGCTAGCACCAGAGTACAGGGTTTTAGGACTTCAAGGGAGCGGCCCTCCTGACTTGTGCTCTTCTCCACTTTGGGAGATTGCTGTCTGCTTTGCTCTTGTCCGCTTTGAGGAACTTTTGAGTCAGTTGATTTTGTGTGGTTTTTATTCTCATTTTGTTTGTCTTCATGAAGAGAGAGAGGGAGAGAGAGGGAGGGAAGCTGAAAGGAGTACAGAATGAAGAAAAGGATGCTTCTACCTATTATTTATTTATTTATTTATTTATGACATTGCTACCCCACCTTTCTCATCCTGGAGGGAAGTCAAGGCAGTTTTACATACAGGCAACAATTCGATGCCTTAAAATACAATGTACACTTAAATAAATGTTGAAATAGAATTTAAAAGTATATTAAAACAATGAAAACATTTAAAAACAATAAATTCAGAGTATTGTCTAAGGCTTTCATGGCCGGAATCACTGGGTTGTTGTAGGTTTTTTCGGGCTGTATGGCCATGGTCTAGAGGCATTCTCTCCTGACGTTTCTCCTGCATCTATGGCAAGCATCCTCAGAGGTAGTGAGGTCTGTTGGAACTAGGAAAAAGGGTTTATATATCTATGGAATGACCAGGGTGGGACAAAGGATTCTTTTCTGCTGGAGCTAGGTGTGAATGTTTCAACTGACCACCTTGATTAGCACACAATGGGCTGACTGTGCCTGGAGCAAACCCCTCTCAACAAAAGTTTGCTGGGGAAGCTAGATATTCCTAGAGAAGTGAATTGTTTATTGTACTAGAGAAGTGTTCTCTCGGGTTAAAAATGAGTACTTTTTGCATCCTATGGATGCAGTGTTAAAACCAACATATAATGAGGAATTGAGAACATATAGGGAATATTTAATGGAAGGAAAAAAGACAATGGAAATTAAAAGGGAGAGGATCATAGAATTGGAAGAGACCTCGTGGACCATCCAGTCCAACCCCATTCTGCCAAGAAGCAGGAAAATTGCATTCAAAGCACCCCTGACAGATGGCCATCCAGGCTCTGCTTAAAAGCCTCCAAAGAAGGAGCCTCCACCACACTCCGGGGCAGAGAGTTCCACTGCTGAACAGCTCTCATACAGTTAGGAAGTTCTTCCTAATACTCTGGTGGAATCTCATTTCCTATAGTTAGATTCCATTGTTCTGCGTCCTAGTCTCCAGGGCAGCAGATTTATTTGTGTTATTGTCAGTGTTATTGTCTAATGTTTACTGCTATTGTTTTAATGTTTATTGTTTGTCCTCATGGACAACAAGTTAAACATGAGCCAACAATGTGATGTGGCGGCAAAAAAAGCCAATGGGATTTTGGCCTGCATCAATAGGAGCCTAGTGTCTAGATCTAGGGAAGTCATGCTACCCCTCTCTATTCTGCTTTGGTTAGACCACACCTGGAATATTGTGTCCAATTCTGGGCACCACAATTCAAGAGAGATATTGACAAGCTGGGAATGTGTCCAGAGGAGGGCGACTAAAATGATCAAGGGTCTGGAGAACAAGCCCTATGAGGAGCGGCTTAAGGAGCTGGGCATGTTTAGCCTGAAGAAGAGAAAGATGAGAGGAGATATGATGAGAGCCATGTATAAATATGTGAGAGGAAGCCATCTTAGGTAGGAAGGAGCAACCTTCCTTTCTGCTTCCCTGAAGACTAGGACGCAAGGGAACAATGGCTTCAAACTACAAGAAAGGAGATTCCATCTGAACATGAGGAAGAACTTCCTGATGTGAGAGCTGTTCAGCAGTGGAACTCTCTGCCCCGGAGTGTGGTGGAGGCTCCTTCTTTGGAAGCTTTTAAACAGAGGCTGGATGGCCATCTGTCAGGGGTGATTTGAATGCAATATTCCTGCTTCTTGGCAGAATGGGGTTGGACTGGATGGCCCATGAGGTCTCTTCCAACTCTTTGATTCTATGAATCTAATGTTACTGATTTGCTTTATGAGTTTATTTATTGTTGTATTTGTTATGCTGTTGTTTTATTGATGTGTTGGCCTTGGCTTCTCGTAAGCTGCACCGAGTCCTTCGGGAAATGTTAGCGGGGTATAAATAAAGTGAATAATAATAATAATAATAATAATAATAAAACAATTTTGCTCTCTCCTCCCTATGACTTCCCCTCACATCTTGATCCATGGTCCTCATCATGAACTCCTATCAGCCTTCTTTTTTGAAGGCTAAACATGCCCAGCTCTTTAAGCCGCTCCTCATAGGGTTTGTTCTCCAGATCCTTGATCATTTGAGTCGCCTTTCTCTGGACACATACATAAAGAAGTGGAATAATCACAGAATATTTCAAACCTACAGCTGTTCGATAGGCTCAGGCATGGGCCAACTTGGGCCTTCCCTCCAGGCGTTTTGGACTTCAACTCCCACAATTCCTAACAGCCTACCGGCTGTTAGGAATTGTGGGAGTTGAAGTCCAAAACGCCTGGAGGGCCCGGCCAAGTTGGCCCATGCCTGCTCTACTTCTAAGGCAGGCATGGGCCTACTTGGGAGAAGTAGGCCTCACTTTGGGGCCTACCTGCTGCCGGCCGGCCATCACCTCCTCGGCCAGGGCTTCCACCTCCGCCAAGTAGCCCACCACGAAGGCCGGGTCCACGGCGCCCATCGCGTCCGGAACGGAAAAGGGAAGTAAGCGGAGGCGAGGCCTAGTCGGCGCAGGCGTCACGCAAGCCGCGGGCGAGAGGTTGCCACGGCAACGGAGTAGGCCCGAAGCTGGTAATTGGCTGGGAAGGGGGTTGCCACGGCAACTGACTAAGCCCCACCCCCACTTCTCTTGAAAGCCTCAAGCCTCGCTAGGCCCCGCCTTCAAGGCCTCGCTAGGGCGGGTGGTTGCCACGGCAACAGAGTAGGCCCGAGCTTGGGAATTGGCTGGGCGAGCGGTTGCCACGGCAACTGACTAAGTCCCGCCTTCTCTTCAAGTCTTCAGGCCTTGCTAGGCCTCGCCTTCTTTTGAAGCCTTCAGATCTCACTAGGGTGGGAGGTTGCCACGGCAACTGACTAAGTCCCACCTCCCCTTCAAGCCTTCAGGCCTCGCTAGGCCCCGCCTTCACTCACTAGGGCGGGATGTTGCCATGGCAACAAACTAGGCCCCGCCTCCTCTGAGTCCTTCAAGCTCCTTCCATCTTTGTGCATAGAGTATTCTTGCTTCAGTTATTATATATTACATTTACATTCTGTTTCATTGAATTTTAATCTTGGTACCGTGTCTTGTGATCTGTATTTATTTTATAGTAATATGATATTTTTCTAATATCATAAAAATAAAATAATCATAAATGAATGTAATAATGCTATTATCTATGTAAATAAAAATGTAATGTTCTGGGTTGTTGTAGGTTTTTTTGGGCTATATGGCCATGGTCTAGAGGCATTCTCTCCTGACGTTTCGCCTTCAAGATGAACTGAACCACCTCAACTGGGCTCTCCAGGCCAATGGAGACTCCACCTCAGACATCAGAAGAGCTGCAAGACCGAGAAGAAGCCACGAGAGTAAAGATGAAGATCCACCCAGAGGAAAAGTGTTCCTGCCATACATCAAGGGAAGCACTGACCGCAGAGAGAAGCTGATGAGGAAACACAACATACAAACTATCTACAGACCCACCAAGAAAATCCAACCAATGCTGCGTTCAGCAAAGGACAAGAGGGATCCTCTCACCTCTGCAGGAGTCTACCGTATACCATGCAGCTGTGGACAAGTCTACAGAGGGACCACCAAACGCAGCAGCGTTGCCCAACACACGAATCAAGGAACATGAAAGGCACTGCAGACTACTTCAACCAGCCATAGCAGAGCACCTGATGAACCAACCTGGACACAGCATATTATTATTTGAGAACACAGAAATGCTGGACCACTCCCACAACCACCATGTCAGACTACACAGAGAAGCCATTGAAATCCACAAGCATGTGGACAATTTCAACAAAAAGGAAAAGACCATGAAAATGAACAAAATCTGGCTACCAGTATTAAAAAAAACTCTAAAATTACAACAGCACAACAACAGAGAGGAAGCAGGCAGGGACATCTAATTACCTCTCAATAAAAGTTTGCCCCAGGCACAGTCAGGCCATTGTATGCTAATCAAGATGGTCAGCTGAAACATTCCCACCTAGCTCCAGCAGAAAAGAGTCCTTTGTGTCGCCCTGGTCATTCCACAGATATATAAACCCTTTTTCCTGGTTCCAACAGACCTCACTACTTCTGAGGATGCTTGCCATAGATGCAGGCGAAACGTCAGGAGAGAATGCCTCTAGACCATGGACATATAGCCCGAAAAAACCTATAACAACCCAGTGATTCCAGCCATGAAAGCCTTCGACAATACATTAATAATGCTATTATTATCTATATAAATAAAAATGTAATGTTCGTTTGTGGGATTAACAGAACTCAAAAACCACTGGGCGAATTGACGCCAAATTTGGACACAAGACACCCAACAACCCAATTTATTTATTTATCGAGTCACCAGCAACCAGCAAGCAGTCAATTATATTACATTTCTAACAGAACAAAGCAAACAAACAGACAAAATACATAATGTGTGAGTTTGGTAGTTGATGAAATGTCCTTTGACCAGTATCTGGCTACTTGGAGTGCCTCTGGTGTTGCTGCAAGAAGGTCCTCCCTTGTGCATGTGGCAGGGCTCAGGCTGCATTGCAGCAGGTGGTCTGTGGTTTGCTCCTCTCCACATTCACATGTCGAGGATTCCACTTTGTAGCCCCATTTCTGAAGGTTGTCTCTGCATCTCGTGGTGCCAGAGTGCAGTCTGTTCAGCGCCTTCCAAGTCGCCCAGTCATCTGTGTGCCCAACAGTGCAGAGTCAACACAGTGGTTCTCAGAAGAAGAAGAAAGGAATTTTAACGAAGTAGATAGCGAACAGGTGGAGAGGCCTTTGCCTCCTTCCCACGCTGATAGTGAAAATGCAGAAAGCCTTGATAGTGACTTGACCCGGCAAGCCCATCTTGATTTGTGGGTCAGGCGGAGTTCTCGCCTGGCTGACAGACGAGAAGCCAGCTCGGGGAAAGGTCATCGCAATGCTTTCATGTTGGTGAGAGCATAATGTTTTCATGTTAGAAAGGTATTTAGGCTTCTTGCAAACGAAGAGAAAGCGTCAGTTCAACGTAGCTTGTTAGCCTGGAAGCTCCATGGAATAGCTTTAGCTGGAAAGCAGCACGCTTGGGATTTCTTGCATTGTGATTCTTGGGGCAATTGTTTCACTGTTTGTACCATGGACTCTGTTTTGAACTTTGCCTAAAGGATTGTGCCTCTTGTTTTTACCTGAAGATCTTTGGAACTATATTCTGCATTTAACCAAACTCTTTGGAACTTTGCAATGCTTATTCTTTATTTTGACTTGGACTTTTTCCTCAATAAACTATAAAACTACAGCTCTTGTGTGGTGGTGTTTGGAAGCAAGGCGAAGCTCACTCTGAGTTGCAACACTCTGTGCCCTGTGGACTTGGATTTGGCCCAACCATTATGGACTTGCACTCCCAACTGATCAGCTTCCTGTTCACTATCTGGGAATCAGCCCCGGTTGTGAACCAGCCATTCTCAGAGACAAAGGGAACCTTGACCATTTCAACATTCCTATGGATACTTCTTTATCTGAGTCTGGGAACAGACTTGGGAGATCAAACATCTATTGTCCTGGCATCCTAAATTCTACAACTGCACCATCTTATCATCCTCATACCCAGACGCCCATTGTATTTCGAACTGCAGCCTATGCCTCCGAATATGGGCATCACTTCTTGGGGACTCCTCTCCGTCCAACAGCTGATTGGTGGCCTTGGGATTCCTCCACCTGGGAAGAAGGAAATTCTCAACCATGTCAACACAGCCTACACCAATCAGAGAACAAGCCAGCCAATCAGGAGGGAAGAGGGAGGCAGCCAGCTTTGGCGCTCAGCCAATCCAAGGCGGGGAAGGGAAAATTCAAACCTTGACAGTGTTAATGCATGGATCCTTTTCTGTATAAAATGGTTGCACATTCCCATATGTTTATGCTTGTGTATTTTGGCATCCTTTGCTGTACATTGCATCCCTTCTGCAGATTGTATATTAAAGCCTCTCCTGATTTTCAGCACTGGTGAGCCATATTTCATCAGGAACTTTGGCAATTAGCTGAGCTCACCAGGCATGGACTCTCAGTATCCACGATCCTTAGCTCTCCAAATTTCAATTTCAAAAGTACGTTTCAAATTCTTTGTCCAAGTCATCTCCCATTGCTCCAGCTGAATCTGTATTTTGAATCCATTTAACCATACAGTCTTTCACTACTTCTTCCTCAATTTTGTATTTTAACAACAATTTATACATCCCCCGTACAGTTTTGAGCGGATTTATCAGCCAAGAAAGGTGTTTGTTCTTTAGGTTAGATATGCTGGGGAAACAGGGCTGCCTTACCATCTGCTATCAGTGGTTGAAAACGAATCTCTCCCTAACATATGGAGCGCCAGGCTGTGTTCTGCAATATGATATGTGGCACTTTCCATGTTTGTGCGCATGTGTTTGTGATTGTGTATTAACTGGAGGGAAGATGCCTCTGCTCCCATCCTGAAATGTATGATTTTTAAAGATCCCAGGATGAGAACTCTAATAATAATAATAATAATAATAATAATAATAATAATAGTAATAATAATAATAATAATAATAATAATAGGAATCTGCACGCATTATTCATCGATACATCACACAGTACTAGACACTTGGGAAGTGTCCGATGTGTGATCTAATACAACAGCCAGCAGAGTGATCTTGTCTGCTGTGGACTCATCTAGTTGTGTTTCAAATAATAATAATATAAATTATTATTATTATTATTATTATTATTATTATTATTATTATTATATAATGACGCCATACCAGGTGACAGGGGCATTGAGGAAAAACAACAGGAAAAACTCAGCTATGATCAGGACCTCAAAATCGAACTGCAAAGGCTCTGGCATATACCAATACAGGTGGTCCCAGTGGTCATTGGCACACTGGTTGCTGTACCAAAAGATCTTAGCTGGCATTTGGAAACAATAAACATTGACAAAACCACGATCTGTCAACTGCAAAAGGCCACCTGACTTGAATCTGCATGCATCATTTGAAAATACATCACACTGTCCTAGACACTTGGGAAGTGTTCAAGTTGTGGTTTTCTGATACGAAATCCAGCATATAGATCTCATTTGCTGTGGCATTGTTGTAGTAGAGTCCGCTGGCAACGATACTACTACTAGTACTACTACTCCCCCTGAAGGCACAGGTTCGCAGCTTGGGTGTGATCCTGGACTCCTCGCTAACCTTGGATCCCCAGGTGTCGGCGGTGTCCAGGGGAGCATTTGCACAACTCAAACTTGTGCGCCAGTTGCACCCGTACCTTGGGAAGTCGGATTTGGCCACGGTAGTCTACGCTCTGGTTACATCCCGGATTGATTACTGCAACGCGCTCTACGTGGGGTTGCCCTTGAAGACTGCCCGGAAGCTTCAGATGGTCCAGCGCTCGGCAGCCAGGTTGCTAACGGGAGTGGCACTCAGGGAGCATACCACTCTTCTGTTGAGCCAGCTCCACTGGCTGCCAATCCGCTACCGGGCACAATTCAAGGTGCTGGCGTTAGCCTATAAAGCCCTAAACGGTTCTGGCCCCACTTACCTCTCCGAACGCATCTCCACCTATGAACCGACTAGAACATTAAGATCGTCTGGGGAGGCCCTGCTCTCGATCCCGCCTGCGTCACAGGTG